TTTTTTTTTTTTTTTTTTTTTTTTTTTTTCTTCATTATTCCTTCCAATCCCCCTTCCTCCTCCAAAAACAGACTTAAGTGATTCTTGAATACATCCATTCTCTGCTTCTAGTTGCCTTGCTCTCTAACTGATTCCATATGTTGATTACGTTTTTTGATTAAATAAATACGATTTAAATTCCCTCTTTTACTCCTTATTCCCTGAGTTCTGTATGATCTTTCCTAAATACTGAAATTTGTACTAGCATGTAAACACCTTTTTGTTAATAGCTTCTATAGTTTTGAGAACAGTGCCTTGATGACTAATAATTATTTTCTAGGGAGAATAAGCCAACTTTTACTTTAATATTCCCTCTTAACTTGGATTTGGAGTACTCTGTTTAGTTAAAAGCTGGCAATATTTTGTATACGTGGGATGTGCTGCTAGAGCAGAAAAATATGATATAAATAAAATTTCAAGGACTGACCTGTTTGGGGTAGCAAATGTCATAATACAGATTTACATAGGCACCCATCTGAGAGCTTTTCATCTGCCCGCAGCTTGGAGCTGGTCTGGGGAAGGGGTAAGGCTGAGGTGATCCCAGCCTGGCTCGAGCTGTGGGGGGGGCAGGCGAGAAGCTCCTGGGTTGGGGCTTCTCCTCCCCTCTCCCCCACCTGACCCCAGCTGGTGGAGTGAGTTCCAGGTGGGAGTGGGAAGGGATATGTTCCCATCCTCCAGAAGGTGGAGGCTGGAGAGAGGGCGGGGCTGAGCCGAACTCTGCCTGGTTTGCTGGGCTGCAAGGGTGGGAACAAACAGCCCCCACCACAGGGCCCTTTCCTCCCCCTGTTTTATAGCCTGGGACTAAGGGGGCCTGGGCATCCATTCCCTTGCCCCCTGTCCCACTGGACTGACAGGTCCAGGCAGGAAGCAGGCTAGGGAGCTGAGTGCTTCAGCTCTGTAACTGCTGGGGGTGGGGCCAGCTTTGTTGTGTTGGAGCACACAGCACAGCCCAGGGCTGCAAAGCATCCTGGGATGCTGAGAAACTGTTAACTTGAATCGGGAAGGGATTTGGGACAGAAGTTCCATAAACATGTTTAACCTAAGTCCATTAAGTCTGATACTACATGTACGTGCAGGTTTATTTTAAACCATTTTCAGCCATATTGAAAGTGGTTTATGTGCACCGAACTTCAGTTCTGAGATGAGTTTAAACCAGTTTCCAATCACTTAAGCCAGTTTGTGTAACTTCTCTCCCTGGCCTTGAAGTTTGTTCATGCCTCTATTATTGAAATAAGCCTGAAAGTCCAAATGGGTTTTTTTTGTGGCTTATGATGCCTGGATTGTTCCAGATTGCCTTGCTGATGTTCCTGTTTAGTAGATTGTGTCTAGGGGTAAAAATGAGTAACCAAGATTTGTGATTTTATTTTCTATTCCTTTAGAGAACCATTGGAAGCCTATATCTATTTTGGTCCTGTATATTATCAGAAACTAAAGCACATGGTGTTGGATAAGATGCATGCCAGAGCTCGAGGACCCAGAGCTGTCCTTACCAGGTAGAGTTAAGTGTGCATGGTGCTTGCTGTGCAGTCAGAAAAATGTTTAACTGCCTATTAACAACATAGAAGATAAATTCTGCTTCACAGTATATAACTTTTAAAGTTTAGCATTTTGCTAAGCAGCAAAAAAAACTTGTGGCATCTTATGATAGGAGGAAGTTACTTTGAACATTCAGTGTGAGTACCTTGTACAACTAAGAGGTGAGGTTCTTCTGCTGCTAACCCATTTCTTTTGCATTTGAGAAATGAATCTTGTGAATCAACAGTTCGTATGTTTAGCGTACTAAAATATGCTGTAGTATCTAGACCTCTAAGGTTATTCGCCATCCTTGGCATATTAAGAATTTTTCTTACTTAGTAGTAGTTTTACAAAACCAGAGAGCGGCAGGAGGAGAAAACTTGCAGCAGTTAACATGAATCCTCCCATGGAAATTGTGGTAGTTCAGAGGGAGCAGAATATGAGCAGGCTTAGTTCCCTACCTGCTGCTAGTCAGTTACTACAAAGAAAGATCTTTTTTCTTCTTTTTGCCTTTCAAAAGCAAGGTGTGTAGTATATTCCAAAGTGCGTTGCATACAAAACAACAACAAAACCAAGAAACCCAGTAATCCCTCCGCCAGCCAACTTGAACAGTCAGCTGTGTTCTCAACTAATGATCTAACTGCTCGGTTTTTGTTGTTGTTGGTTTTTTGTTTGTTT